CTGATTCGGCCCAGCCGGCGCTACGCCGCGGCGGCGCCGCCGGCCGAGGACTGGGAGGAGGTGGAGGGGACGAAGTCGCCCTCCTCCGAGCCGGACCTCTTCGCCGCGCCGAAGGACTTGGGGGACACGCGGCGCCCGCCCTCGAGCTCCCGGGTGGTGGGGAGCCGCTCGCGCGCGGCGGCCCCCGCCCCCGGCATCCTCCAGGGCCGCGTGGTGCCGCGCTTTTCCATCGACCGCGCGGCCGTCAAGTTCGCCCCGAACGCGCAGGTCATCCGGGGGGCGCCGCGGGCGATGAGAGACGCCGGCCTCGCGCCGCCCCCCGCGGGGCGCGACCCCGCGAAGTTCGAATTCGACCCCGAGCGCTTCATCGGCCGCCACAACTTCATCTTTTTAGGCCCCGTCCGCAGCGGCAAGACCGCCCTGCAGGAGAACCTCAAGCTGCCCAACCGCTGGTACTACTTCTTCCGCAAGGACAAGCTTCGGGTGAGCCCGACGTGGGGCATCCGCCGCTCCCAGCTCATCGTGGAGGGCTCCGAGGACATCCAGCTGCTGTTTATGGAGCTGAGCGGGCTGACCTGCTTTTCCATCCTGCAGGACCACCTCCCGACGCGGCGGGTGACCTACATGCTGTGCTTTTCCCTCACGGCGGACAACCTGTCCTTGCAGATGTTCAACCAGGTCCTGGAGTTCATCCTGTGCAACAGCGACCACCGCGACGCCGCCGTGGTGTTGGTAGCGACGCACCTGGACCAGTGCCGGCATTCGGAGCAGGATCTCTACACCATTTTGGAAGGGATGGAGCAGCAGGTCCACAACTTCTTCCAGCTCCTCCAGCCGAACCCGGAGCTTCGGCCGACGATCGTGGCGCGCTTCGCCGTGGACAACCTGAACCGCAAGGTCTTCTCCGCGGGCTTCGCGCGGATGCGGACGATCACGGACCTCCTGAACTGGATGAGCGACCACGCCCTGCACCGCTGCAAGAACGACATCGACTTCCTGAACGGCCGCATCCCGCTCCGCTGCGACAAACTCCGCGCGATGGTCACGAACCTGCGGGCCACCACCGGGAAGTGGTGTATTTCCCTCGCGGACTACAAAGCCCGCGCCCGGGCCGTCGACCGCCGCTACGGCCAGAAAAACGACCTGCATGTCCACACCCAACTCCTCGCCCACGCCGGGATTCTGCTCCATCGCTTTCGCCATACCACCATGCGCCGGTTCGTGATTATTGATGTGGATTGGTATTTAAAGTTGCTGACTTGTATTGCGTGTTGTGGGCCGATCTCGAAAGGCGACCCGGAGCTGATGGCGCTCTGCGCGTCCGACCTGATGGGCCGCTTCCAGGAAACGGCGATCCTGCCTTTCGATTGGCGAGCCGTCATCGCGGCGGACCAGTACTGTTTGTTGTCCAAAGGCATCATCACCGCGCGGGTTTTCGACGCCCTGATCGGCCGCATCCTCCGCGAGCGAAAGCCCGAGCGGCCCGACCGCGCGGCGATTTTGGAGCTGCTGCAGTGCTGCGATTACGTCATCCTGGGCAGCCGGGTGTGGTTTTCGCCCGCGGCGGAGCAGCCGCCCCTCGCGGCGGGCGCCGAGGCCTTTTTCCTGCTCCCGACCAACTTCGCGCAGCGCGCGTCGCTGGCGGTGATCGCGTACCTGCCGCGGGTGTTGACCGGGCCGTTCTACCGCTTTACTTTTAATATGGTCCCGCTGAACTTCTTCGCGAAGCTGAGCTGCCGGCTGGCCGGCGGGGCGGCCCGCGCGGTTTATGTCGGCCCGGTCCAGCCCCGCCACGTCGAATCCGAGGCCTGGGAGGAGGAGGAGGAGGAGAAGAAGAAGGCGAAGGCCGCCGCCGCCGCCCCCGTCCTCATCCCGGGCGGCCATCACTTCTGGCAGGAGGCGGTCTGGGCGCTGGGGCCGCAGGGGAACCGCGCGTTCATCCGGATGGTCCACCACTCCCTTTTTATCGCCTTTTACAGCACAGCAGGGCGGTCCGGGGAAGGGGGAAGGGGAGGGGGGGAGGAGGAGGACGGCGCCGCCGCCGCGGGCTTCTTCGACGGCCTTCTTCGCGTGGTTCGCGAGGTCGTGCAGGAGAGCCCCGGGGCCCAGTGCAAGGAGGGGCTTTTGTGCGCCATGGACCCCCTTGACCGCGCCGCCCGGGCCCCCGCCGCGGGGGCCGAGCTCGGCGAGGAAACCACCAGCGCCGAGATCTACCACACGGTCCCGCCGAGCGAGGACCCTGTGAATGGCCCGCCCATGTCCTGCTATTATTGCACGGTCGATGAGAACATCAACAGCTTTGACAAAATCCGCGACGTGGAGCAGTTCGCCCTGCAAACGGCGCGCTACCTGCGCTCGCAAGAGGCCTTGCGGGCCTGCTCCGAGAGCACCCAAGGCGACGAAACCCCCCGAAGCGACCTCGCGATGGAGGTGATCCCGTTCTTGCGAAACGCCACGGCGACAGTCGACGTCGAGGCGTTCTTGCGGGCGGTCGAGGCGGACGTCGGGGCCCCGAATGACCCCATCCTCCGCGAAAAACTTCGCCAGGCGCTGCTGGAGCGGAAGCAGCTCCATTCGGCGGAAGGGATGGCCGCGTTTCGGGAAAAATCCGACCCCAAGGCGATCGCCACGCACCGGGAGAAACTGGGCTATACAATCGATGTGGTGATGGATGCGTTGGCGCGATGGTGGGGCCACACAGTTGAAGGCAATGATACTGCATAGTGTTCTCATTTCCATCCCCATGATTATAATCGTTTCTGGTTTTATATATATCTACAGAGCTTATTGATGAGAAAAAAAAAAAACTTTCAGTGGTCTTCTTTGTAGTCATCGTCTTTTTTTTTTTGCACATGGGGATAAAATTCATATTTTATATACAATTTTGTTGACAAACAGAGAAAAATATGTATGAAAAAGGGTAATAAAGACATAGTTGTGTTTACCTGTATATTATTTTATTCCAAGCAACAAAGTTTTTTATAATCTTTCGTACTTTATTAAATACTCTTCGGACAACTTACCTGTGGAATATCCGTCTTACGGGATTGAACTCGATCGCGATCACTGTCTCGAACGATCTGTCGTTGGCGTCCT